GTCGCCAAGATCAATTTTTGTTGACTTTTATGGGTCAGCTTCCTCGCAAAACACAAACCCACCTCGATTATGGTATTTAAACTGTTATGGGTCGAGAAAAAATTATCATTATTGTTCAAAATGGAAGAAAGAAATAATGAAGAACTTGTTCTTGAAAATGATGATGATGTGATGCTTCCTGGGTTTAGATTTCATCCAACGGATGAAGAGCTTGTTGGGTTCTACTTGAAAATGAAGATCCAGCAGCGCCCGCTTTGCATTGAGCTCATTAGGCAGCTTGATATCTATAAATATGATCCGTGGGATCTTCCGAGTAATGTTGTTTGATTATTGATATCTCTTCCTCTGTTCATGTTGTTGTTGGTGATACTCATTTTGTGTGTCTTTTTGGTTTAGAGCTGGCGGCGAGTGGAGAGAAGGAGTGGTATTTTTATTGTCAAAGAGACAGGAAATATAGGAACAGTGCAAGGCCTAATCGTGTCACCGGAGCTGGGTTTTGGAAAGCTACTGGCACTGATCGTCCTGTTTATTCTTCCAATTGTTCTTCCAAATCCATTATTGGGTTGAAGAAATCTCTTGTTTTCTATAAAGGGAGAGCTTGTAAAGCACTCAAAACTGATTGGATGATGCACGAGTTTCGCGATCCGTCTAACGTTATGGTTCGCCTCTAATTTTTTAAGCTCGATTCATTTAAAATTGAGTCTATGTTAGGTATGATACTAACCACTTTGAACATGAACTCTCGTGGTTTTACTTTGAAATTTCTCTAAAAAAAACCCATGTGTGACTCCCTCTCAATAATCTTCCTCTCGAATAAAGTACACTACAGAGCCTCCCCTGAGACCTATGGAGCCCTTGAACAACCTCCCTTTAATCGAGGTCTGACTCCTTCTTTGGAGTATTCGAACAAAGTACACCGTTTGTTCGACACTTGAGTCACTTTTGAGGCTTACAATTTTTTTTTTTGACATTTGAGGTTTCTATTGACGTAACTAAGTTAAAGGTATGACTATGATAGCATGTTAGGAATCACGAATCTCCACAATGGTTTGATACCCTAAAGATCTCGTACCAATGAAGATGTGTTCCTTACTTATAAACTTATGATCATTTCTTAAATTAGTCAAGAGTTTATTGTATATTGTTTTAATATTTGATTGTTTGGTTGTTTTAGGATTCGTGGGCGATATGTCGGATTTTCAAGAAGACGAATGTTTCTCGAAGAGGTGTTTCGTCTACATTGAAACATGAGATAACTTACGAACCCGACGTGAACAGAAACGGGTCGGTTTTGTGTTCGAAAACGGTTGAAGATGTTGTTTGCAATGTCTCGAATGATTATTTGGAGGGAAAGCTCCCTCAGCTTTCCATTCCAAATGAACCCATTGGCGGTCCTTCCAGCTTCACAGCTCAGCCAATGGGAGTCGCCGACATTGATGTTTCCTCTTTACTGTTGAATATGTCGGCTTCCTTTGTTGGCGACTTTGGTTGTCGGGCGCCTGAAACATCTGAGCCGTTTTCGTGGTTTCAGTCTGTTGGCCAGCCCGACGGCTTGGCTGAGCAGCCAATGTACGGCCAAGACAATGCGTTGTTGTTTGAGGACTCGAAGCCGTGGGAGTCGGCGCCGCCGCCGTCATCGATTGGACATGCTTTGAGTTGCATTTGGGACAAGTTGTTGAATTGAATTTGAAATTCCTATGATCTCGAGAAATTTCAGGTTTTTTTTTTTTTTTTTTTTTTTTTTTTTATTTCTTTTTACTATTGCAAAATTGCATTCCAACTACCCCAGCTATATCTAATTCAATTACTAAATATGTATAGCTACTTCAATTACTAAATATAAATAGCTACAATTTTCAGCACTAACAATTACTACAGGACAGAACTTTCTTGACTGAGGTATCATCAATTTTCTCAATGGTGATTCAAATTCCTAGGAGGGAACTGTGGTGAACATGCCTGAATTTCATCGATAACAGCACAACTGTAGTTGGAGGTTACATCAGCCATCTCAACAGTAACAGCCTTATGTTTTGCACCATCAACTTCCTCTCTTTCTTGTCCAGTGATCAGATCACAAGGGATTTTAGCCTTATTCAACCGCTTTGAGACTTCCCAGGCCAACAGTCTCAGGGGACCACAATATAAACCTGCATAAGAAGACAAAAGAAGGGATTCAAAAGATATCCATGACCATGATTTAGTCTCTCCATGATAATATAGAATCAAGAGAACAAGAAACTACAAACATAAATTCATGATATCGATTGGCATGTACCAGAATCACTTGATTCAAGCCTCTTCAAAGCATTGTGAGTTTTGCCACTATTTGTTGGACCCANAATGAAGGTTAATTAATTTCTAAGATACTTTTTAGTTTTTATGGTCGAGAAGTCTCTAATCAAGGTCATTTAAGACATTACGAATTGAGTTACAGTATGAGATCTCACATTGGTTGGAGAGAGAACAAAACATTTCTTATAGGGTGTGGAAACATCTTCCCCATGTTATAAAACTGTGAGATTGACAGTTATACGTAACAGGTTAAAACAGACAATATTTGCTAGTGGTAAGTTGCGAGATCCTACATCGATTGGAGAAGAAACGAAACTTTATTTATAAGGGTATGGAAACCTCTTCGTAGTCTACGCGTTTTAAAACTGTGAGGCTCACGACAATACCTTACAGGCTAAAACGGACAATATTTGCTAGTAATGGTCTCAAGCTGCCTATGTTCGAATAAAAAACCACTCTAAGATAGTTTGTTCTTAAGGGTCATATTCCATACCATATCGTTGATGAGTTTCTTAAAAATGGAACATGGGATTATTCACTCGACTCTCCAAACATATGATAGCCATAAATTTAAATATTGAAAAAATTTAATCATTTTTTATTATCCGTATTCATTTGTAGTTACCTGTCACAATTTTCAATCGAACTATGCCCATTAAATTATGGGTTAGGTCCGTCTGGCTCCAACCCAATAGAGTTTGAGACCCATAGGCCAAGCCTAGGCCTTTACCTGCCCAATAATGAAGCCAACTGCCTGTCTGATAATATTGAGCAAAACATTGGAGAGACAAATAAATAAATAAATATATATTATAAGAGGGTAATTTTGATATTTACTAAATATTCGAATTAAAAATATATTTGCTTCAAAATATTTTCATTAAATTATAATTTTAGTTTTAAATTTAATATGAATAATTTTGGAAGTTAGGGAAGTAATTAAGTTTCATGGCTATTTAAAATTATTTTTAAATAAAAAATTTCAATAACCAAAATATATTTTGGTAAAATCAAAAGACAAGTTTGTCCTTTTTATTATTATTATTAAATATTTATATTATTATTTGCATAAGGTACAGTGGGTCCTTGCATAAGCCGCAAAGTCGGTTGATGGGTGATTCCATCAGCTACCGACACTCCCCAATGCTCATCCCTGTTTAATTTTCTCTTTTTAATAATATTTTAAATTGTTTTCGTATCGAGATTCGTCATCTCTGATAGATCCGATATTTTCTTGTATTACTTACGATATGGTCACGTCAGTTACTCCTTACTTTTAAAAGTGAAGATTATTCTCACAAGCCAATACAGAGTCCTGGTCTCCTCTTGGAAGCTTACGGTTTCATGTTCTATTTTACTTCCTGATAGGGGTTCTTTTCACCATTCCCTCACGGTACTACTTCATTATCGGTCACCCAGGAGTATTTAGTCTTACAAGATGGTCCTTGCTTATTCACACGAGATTCCACGTGCCCCATGCTACTTGGGTCAGAGCCTAAGCTAGGAGTCCTTCCAACATATTTTGTCTTCACACATATGCATTTTAAGAAATTTCACGGAAGGTCACACAACATAAAAATGCTCCAAACAAATCAGGCTTAATTACGAAATTCCTATGATTTAGTCACTGAAAACGTGTCAGAATTTAATGCAATTTATTGTTAGTTTGAATTAGCTATGGAATATATGATATTCGTAATCCGCTAATATTTGAAAAATATATTAGTTATTGAATATATCTTATATATTCGTAATCAATTAAATTCGATCAAGATTTAGTTAGTTTATATTTTCCTTATTGGTAGATATTAGTTGGCAGCTTGTATCCTATTTAAACGTTGTGAATATCAATGAAAATTGAATATTCGATCCCAATTTTATTCCTTATTCTTAACTTATATTGTTTCATTGAGCAATAATATTTTCAGATTTATTTACATTTTTGAGTGGCAGATATTGTGTAAAAAAGAAGTGCATCTCGTCCATATAGATATTGACTTTCGTTTCTTTTAATTTTTATCGTATTCTTAAGATTGCCTCTCATTCTGATACGGTACTCGGTACATTCCTACGCCTTTCATTCACTTGAATGTCTAACGATAAGAAATAAAATACATGGGAGGGAGGAGAAAATTTCCTCGTCCCACCGGATCCCGTGGACATTTTTATTTATAATTAAGAATTATTCTAATTAAAAATTTATTAAAAAAATCTGAGTGAAATTTAAAAATTGATCAAAGGTTTAGGGACATTGTTTGTTAGTGATGAAGAACAAGACAGTATTTCCCACATGATTACTGTCGGCTGTCGGCTTTGTTTTGCAGCGAATCTCTATGTTAAAATTTCTGATGGGATCTCATTCCATTAAAAATATTGTTTTTTTTTAATAAAAATATTATTCGTTTTAATTTTATATAATCATCTTTTACTTAATATATTTATATCATAATTAACAAATTTCTCAAATTAAAATAATTTATTGAACTGCGAATCCTAGCCGTCCATTTAATCGATGGCTTTAATTGGCTGTGTGTATGTAAATCAATGATAAGATGGGCCCCACAAAAAGGTCCCACCTTAAATGAAAGCGCGTGCGGGTCCACTCCCGTGAAGTCCGGATGGTGAGAATCCGACGTCGTTTTGGATAAAGAAATTAATTTGTAATAATTTGAATTATTCAAAATAAGGATTTAAAAGAGAGAGGGAGAGGCGGAGACGTGTGGGTTGTGGAGCCCAGTACGGTGTCTCAACTGGCTTCCATTTCGGTCTTCCACAACTCCGAACAATTCGATAATCCTATACTTTTTTTTTTTGTTTTACTTTTCTTTCTGCTAAAGCTCAGATCTAATCCATGGCTTCTCCTTGTCGGAGCTAGGGTTTTTCACCTACTTATTGCACCCATTCTTCTTCCATTTCTCTTCCATTTTCATTCTGTTGGAGCTTCCTGTTTCTTCCATTCGTTTTCTCGTTCTGCTGCTGATTCTTCCGCTTCGTTTCTTGCCATTGGTTAGTCATCCTATTTCTTGCTTTATTCATTAAGATTTACTTGCTTGTGTTGAAATCTTGAGATCTTTGTTTTTTTTTTTTTTAATTCTTTAAACAATTGTTGCTGTCGGTTGCTTTCCTGGTGGGACTACTGAAGTTTAATTACATGTGTAGTTCGATTGTATTTAACTAATACTTTACTTGTATTGAATGTGAGTTTTCGCTTTCCTGTTAGAACAGATTTGCGATGTGAAATTCACATGGGGAATTAATGAATTATTCGGATTTGTTGAATTGTTCTCACGGATCTGGATGGATCGGGGATTTGTTTTGTGTATCGATTGTTGTTTGGAATTGCTTGCTTGTATGAGTAGACATTTTTGGCAAGTTCACTGGTTTTCTTTCTTGTCGGTGTATGAATTGTCATCAACTTTGAACTTTCTCTGCTTGGAGTTAATTTCAGAAGTTTATATTTGTTTATTTGTGGTGAAATCATCATTAAATGAAGAAGTGATTGGATTTTCTTTACTTAATTTGCTTAAACGTCTTTGTGATTTAGCTACTTTGTTTGGCTACTTATATATAACAAAGCGATTGTGTGGAAACCATGCAGGTGCGTTATGGCACCCAAACCAGGTTCAGCTGATGGTAGGACCAGGAGCTCTTTTCAAATTTTCATAGTTATAGGTTTGTGTCTGTTCTTCTACATACTAGGCGCATGGCAACGTAGTGGTTTTGGTAAGGGAGATAGTATAGCTATGGAGATTACTAAGACTGGATCAGACTGTAATATAGTTTCAAATTTGAATTTTGAGAATCATCATGGAGGTGAGGTTGAGACTATTGATGAATCAAAATCGAAAACTAAAATGTTTGAGTCATGTGATGCTGAGTACACTGATTACACCCCTTGTCAAGATCAGAAGCGTGCAATGACCTTCCCCAGGAATGACATGATTTACCGTGAGCGACATTGCCCTGTTGAGGAAGAAAAGTTGCATTGCCTCATACCAGCCCCCAAAGGATATGTAACTCCCTTCACTTGGCCAAAGAGTCGAGACTATGTTCCATTTGCAAATGCACCTTATAAGAGTTTGACTGTTGAGAAGGCTGTACAGAACTGGATTCAGTATGAGGGCAATGTATTTAGATTCCCGGGAGGAGGAACTCAGTTTCCTCAAGGGGCAGATAAATATATTGATCAGCTTGCTGCTGTGGTTCCTATTAAAGATGGGACAGTTAGGACTGCTCTTGACACTGGATGTGGGGTATGCTATTCTCATTACGCCTTGTACTTATTTCTTTCTTACTTTACTGATATGCACGTATAAATTCTCTTTGCTGCATGTATTATTTATTAATTTATTATTACTCTTCTTCTGTTGGCGGTTTTCTCAGGTTGCAAGTTGGGGTGCATACCTTCTGAGTCGACATGTATTAGCCATGTCGTTTGCACCACGAGACTCTCATGAAGCACAGGTTCAATTTGCTCTTGAAAGGGGAGTTCCTGCAGTTATTGGTGTTCTGGGTACTGTGAAGCTGCCTTATCCATCTAGAGCCTTTGACATGGCTCACTGTTCTCGATGCTTAATCCCTTGGGGTGCAAATGGTAGAGTTAGGACAGGAGCATTTACTTGTTTATTTTTCATTCTCTGTTAGTTGGAACTTTCTGAAAACAGAGCTAGCAGTTTCGGTAATTTTAGAGGTGACGTCTCAAATTCTTTTACTGCAGATGGAAAATATCTAATGGAAGTTGATCGAGTTCTTAGACCAGGTGGTTATTGGGTGCTTTCGGGTCCTCCAATCAACTGGAAGACTAATTATAAGTCATGGCAGCGTCCTAGAGAAGAACTTGAGGAGGAGCAGAGAAAGATTGAGGAGGTCGCCAAGCTTCTTTGCTGGGAAAAGAAGTCTGAGAAGGGTGAGATTGCTATTTGGCAGAAGAGAGTAAATATAGATTCATGTCGTGACAGACAGGATGATTCTCAAGATATCTTTTGCAAATCGCCTGTGTCAGATGATGTCTGGTATGATTGCATTTTGGGTATTATCAGTGGTTTCTATTTATATATAAGATCTTCATTAAAATTAATTGTTACTTCGATTGTTTTCTATGTATACATTATAACTTACTTAGGTATGAAAAAATGGAGACCTGCATTACTCCATATCCTAATGTTGAGAGCTCTGATGAGGCTGCTGGTGGTGAACTGAAGACATTTCCTGCAAGACTTTATGCTGTTCCTCCTAGAATTTCTAGTGGATCTGTTCCTGGCATTTCTGTCCAAGCCTATCAGGAGGACAATAACAAATGGAAGAGGCATGTGAAGGCTTACAAGAAGATCAATAGTCTTCTTGATACTGGAAGATATCGTAATATTATGGATATGAATGCTGGTTTGGGAAGCTTTGCTGCAGCCCTTGAATCTTCTAAACTATGGGTAATGAACGTGATGCCCACTATAGCTGAGAAAAATACTCTTGGTGTCATCTATGAACGAGGGTTAATTGGCATCTACCATGACTGGTATCTCTCTCTCTATTCATTCCTCTTATATGATTTTAGCAGTTCATATACATTTAATATTCAATTCAATCTTTGTGAGGATGAAATTCAAAATATAATTTTATTTTCGAGTTCCCGAACTTGTTTCTCTTTGTTGCAATAAACTAGTTTCTCAAAATTTCTCTTATATAACATCTGACGATATGTCCTGTTTTTCCTTCCATTTTATGGTTCAGGTGTGAAGCTTTCTCCACGTATCCTAGGACATATGACCTCATTCATGCCCATGGCCTTTTCAGTTTGTACCAGGACAAGTAAGTACTCCGATGTGAATGTACATCAAAATTTGAAGTGCTGAGCTTTCTTTGTCCTTTTCTCTCCCATAAGTGTTGATGCATTCGTTTAATTTGGTAAACATTTTCTGAAATTTTGTGGATGATTTCTTATGTTTGTGTTGGGATTTTCTGGTGGTGTAAGTAACATGGGTTGTAACGTAATTAAATTTGATAAACAGATGCAACATGGAGGACATTCTCCTGGAGATGGACAGGATTCTGAGACCCGAAGGAGCAGTGATCTTCCGGGATGAAGTCGATGTACTCATTAAGGTGAAGAAGATGATCGGAGGGATGAGATGGGATACAAAAATGGTGGATCATGAGGACGGTCCGCTCGTGCCCGAGAAGGTACTGATTGCTGTTAAGCAGTATTGGGTTGTAGGTGGAAAGAACTCCACATCACACTGAATCTCTATTAAACCTTTGGCTACTTTCAAAAACCCCTCACTCTGAATACACAACAGCACCCTTCTCCCACGAATGTAGTCATTTTGCTACTTACCACGACGGAGGGAAGTGGCGGGGGATCGCAGAGGCCGCCGCCCAGCTAGTAGTAGTAGCTCAGCTGCAGGTGCGCTTTGTTTCAATTTTCCCCTCCTTTTTTGAGCCTTTTTGTAGACCAAGACAATCAAAATGCCTTACCTCTCATTTCTATGCCCTTATTTTGTACTCTAATTTATTGTCATCCACATACCCCTTCCTCCAAAGAGAGAAATATCAACGTGTTTGGGTTGGGTGGGGTCGGGTTTGGTTCAATTCGTTTTTTTTTTTGCGTTGTAATTCTATTATGTTACTAATTTATTTAATGCCTATATCTTTGGTGATTCCTTTTGTTTGCTAATTTGTTCTTATGGTTAAGGAAATTGTCGTGGACTGAAATTTGTTTAATAGGACATAGCTTCAATATTTGATAAATTGGATATCTCAGCTTTTTATTAGAAAAAGCTGCAATATTTTTGGTTTGGTCTAATTTACTGAATAACATTCGTTAAAACTGAATTAGACCGTCTATTAATAAATGATTTACACTTAATAAATAATTTACACTTTTATGAGGAATGTTTTGTTTCCCTCTCCAATTAAAGTGGGATATCACAATTCACTCCCTTCAGGGTCAAGCGTATTTGCTGACATTCCTTTCTTTGATCGACGTGGGATCCCCCCAAATCCACTCCCTTAAGAGAACAGTCTTCTCGTTGGCACATCGCTCGGTGTCTGGCTCTGATATCATTTGTAACGGCCTAAGCCCAAGCTCATCACTAACAGATATTGTCTACTTTGGGCGAGAACGAAACACCAAGGGTGTGAAAACCTTTCTCAGACACGTTTTAAGCCTTGAGGGGAAGCGTGAAAAGGAAAGTTCAAATAGAACAACAAACGAAACACCTTTATAAGGGTGTGAAAACCTTTCTTAGACACGTTTTAAAACCTTGAGGGAAAGTCTGCAAGGGAAAATTAAAAAAAGACAATATATGCTAGGGGTGGACTTGGGCTTAGTTACATTTCGTTACATATCCAGATGAGGGTGTACTCTTACCTATATTGACTAGTCAAAGGAGAAGATGATACCGATAATACCAGCTAGCTGTGAAACATTACACAACTAGATTTTTAGTACGGTATCCGCGTACAAATTTTTAGATCACAAACCAAACAAAAACGAAAATATTATAGATCTTTAATCCGGTTTATACAAATATAGAAAAAAAAAATCCAAGTAGGTGCAACATTTACAACATATCCTAAATCTCATGGCCATCAAAAAAACAGAATTAAATTCCGTGTCGGTAACGACAACAAATCCATATGTCCCATCATTAATGTCCTCAAAATCCTCTCTACTTATACAACCATCTCCAAGAACAACAACACACCTTCAAACCTCAACCATGTCAACCTCCACACCACCAAAGCCCCTCCCTTTCGATTCCCATGGAGAAATCGGCGTTTTCCGAGCCGAAAAATATTTCAACGGCGGATTGGACATCCACGTGGACAGCCCAAGAACAAACCCACCCAACAACAAGCCCTCCATAAACCTAGCCCCCGACGAGCCCTTCACGCCAAACCCATGGCTCGCAACGCCCAGCGTTGCCTCAGAATCATGCACCACCACCACCACCACCACCCAGAAGCCATTACTCAACACCCATAAGACCCATAACACTAAAGGCTTTCTTTCCCACGCGCTCGGCTATTACTGCATGTGTTATTCACGCTCCGACAAACCCTCCGACGACATCGGCGAAATCAGTTTCAGCAGACCTGTAACAACCGCCCCAACGGCGTCGTTTAGAGACAATTCTTTCACCTTCCAAAATGGGTCATTAAAATTGGTTCATTTCCAAGAACCGGAAGTGGAGCGGAAATCCTTGGAGGTTTTCGGCTCGCCGGTGATCGGCCGGCACAGAAATAAACCGTTTAGCCTCGAGAAAAAACTCGCAATGCTTTCATGGGACCACACCAACAACAACAACTACAACAACGACGAAGCCAACAGCGATTGCAGCTCCGATTTGTTCGAAATTGAGAGCCTCACAAAGCAAACCAACCCGTTTCAATCGCCAACGCCGTCCTACTACGCCCCGAGCGAGGCTAGCGTCGAGTGGAGCGTTGTCACTGCCAGCGCGTTGGATTTTGATGAGCGGCGGATTTCCACCACAAGTCCTGCAAGAGTGGCGGCGCCGCCGCCGCCGCCGCCGAGGAGGGTTGGTGTTAATGAGCAAGTTGCTGTTGTTGTTCAGAAGCGGCGGTCCGGTAGTCTTTTGGGGTGTAAAAGTGAGAAAGCTGTGAGAGTTGCGGAGGATAATAGTAATGGTCGGAAGATTAGTGGTAAGGTGAATTTCAATTCCAGCTCGTCGTCGGTGTCAGTGTCGGTGCCGGTGCCGGTGTCGGTGTCGGTGAATAGATTTGAAGATGAGACGAGGGTAAGGAGTTTTAGTTTTAGATCACAAGCGCCGCCGCCATTGCTGCCATCGTCACGTCATTCTCTTGCTACACGCTCGCTTCCTCGCCCTTATTCGCCTCGGCTTTCAAATATAGCTTTCAATATACATGATATCATTGGATAATTTGTATCGTTTTACAATTGTATGATATTGTTCCTCGAGTATTACGTTTCTCACATTTAATTGTCAAAAAGATAATAGTAATGGTCGGACATATGATTTTCTCCTTATCTGATTGATACAAGACTTTCGTCACGCTCCCGAGAATCCATTCATCTAAAAAATATATAATTTTTTCAAATTCCAAATACCAAAGATTGAACTATGGACACCTTTGATGATTGCTCGTTCTAAAACGGATATAGGGCACCTTTTTTAGCCAATTATGTCTCGTTCTCTCTCCATTTTCGATTGTTGTTAGGTTGATCGATTCAATTTTTGTCGGATAACTTAAAAAAAATGTTGTTTGAACCTAGATCATACATGTCTTAACCAGGTGAGCTATGTCTAAATTCAACCGATTTTTACTGAAAAATACATAAATTTAAAAAAGCAGATCGATTAGGAGGGGGGTCGATCTTTCTTTTCTTACTCAGGGTGCTTCATCTCAGGTCCTTCCAGCTGAACATGCTTCGGGACATCGACCCTATAAACCGTTTAACGGCCTAATTTTTTCGAAGGGTCGGCGGGACATGGGAGCCTCGAGGTGGGTCGGGAACTCATTGTCATATAGTTGTGAGGGCAACCAATCAAAGTTAATTGATCATAAAGGCACCATTTAATTCTATATAGAGAGATATTGGTTTTGAAAAAGAAAATTCATTAAAACTTGGAAGGTTAGCAGAAAGAATGTTGGTTTCCATTATCAATTATTCAACTACCATTCTGAAGTGAGTGACCCATTTCAATCACTATCAGCTCTTAATGCACTTTCCCCCATGGATATATACGATCGTTCGTTTTTTCGTTCTCGAAAGTTTTGAACTTCTTTAATCTGTTTAGATTCGCTCGAGTTTTACTATGGTGAAAGAATTATTTTAGTTGTTCTTATCATATCGTTATAATCAATGAACAACTCGGGGCTTCCAGTTGTGTGTGTTGACTTATTGATATCAATGTGGATTGAATTTGCGTAGACTACGATGGGTATTAACTCCGCCATGCATTAGGTAACATGGACCATATTGATATTATTACGTTTCCTTTTAAGCTATTGATCTTGAGAGAATGAAGATAAGAACCGATGATATTTATGGATTCCTCTAAATAATTAGATTTTAAATTTAACTTGCGGATGCTTCCTAAAGAGCAACGGAGGTATGTGAACGTTGATTCAAGTTAAGATTCTACTCGTGAGCGTAATGATATAAGTCTGCTTGATTGTAAGACGATTGAAAATTTCGCCATAGTGATCTCGGAAGTCCTATGGTACACCACGAATAACAGACTGATGACTTCCAAAAGTTTTTATTGACGAAGTCGTATGGTACCTCGATGTACCCCTAATCCAGTTTAGCTCCACGTTCTTCCATGTGATAATGTATATGTATCGACGTTTTCTTTAGGACTGGTTGCTTCTAACTTTCGGGAAAAGGACGATAGATCTATTTCCTTAGCTATAAAAAAACGGACCCTTTTTTAGACCATCTCTTAAATAATCGAATCATGTCTACAAAATATTAGTACCATGCAACTACTTCCAAGCCGCCGTGCTGCTCCTCAAAGCAACCCATATTAATGATAATATTGAACTAATTTATCATATTGAAATAATATATCAAGTCTAATTTGAATTTTTTTTATGGCACAGGTCAATAAGTATCACGATTAGTGTAAATTAAATAACCTTAATTACTGTTTAATAATTAGATTCATGTATTTCAACAATTCGTGTATCAAACTATTACGATTCATGTATCCAATAGTACTATTAGTAGATCCAACTGTTCGTGTATCTAATTGTTCATGTTCGTGTATCCAATCGTTCGTGTTCGTGTATCAACTCATAACGTCCTCGTAGTATTTGGTCTAAACTTAGGTATATAAGTCACTCATAAGGGCACCAAAATCTTCAACCATTGATTAATGATTGAATTCCTTGCATAAGACGAACAATTAGCCACCATCATGGAGCAAGGAGCTATTGAGCCAAAGGGCACGGCGGACATAGACAATTCAAGCTCATACAAAAAGATCATAATAGTTGCAGCCATTGCAGCCGGAATCCAATTCGGTTGGGCTCTGCAGCTCTCATTACTAACACCATACGTCCAACAACTCGGTGTTTCCCACACATGGTCAGCTTTCATTTGGCTCTGTGGTCCATTGTCCGGCCTAATTGTACAGCCAACCGTCGGCTACTACAGCGATCGATGCACCTCGAGGTTCGGTCGTCGTCGTCCCTTCATCGTAGCCGGAGCTATATCGGTAGCCGCCGCAGTTTTCCTCATTGGCTTTGCAGCAGACATTGGGCATTCACTAGGAGATCAACTCACCAAACCCACAAAACCAAGGGCGGTGGCTATCTTCGTGGTCGGATTTTGGGTTCTTGATGTCGCTAACAACATGTTACAAGGCCCTTGTCGAGCTTTGTTAGCTGATATGTCATGTACCAACCAAAAGAAAATGAGGGTCGCTAATGGATTCTTCTCATTCTTTATGGGCGTAGGGAATGTCTTAGGGTATGCAGCAGGGTCCAATAGCTCACTCTATAAGCTCCTTCCATTTACCATCACTGAAGCTTGTGATGCATATTGCGCTAATCTCAAGACATGTTTTTTAATCGACATTGTCTTGCTGCTAACCATTACAACAGCCGCCGTGTTGTTAGTGAGCGAGAGGCCTTATGAGAACGCTATGGACAACGAAACAGAGCCGTTTTTTGGGCAATTGTGTGGGGCGCTCAAGCGGCTATCAAAGCCCATGTGGGTGTTGTTGCTTGTCACAGCGTTGAATTGGATTGGTTGGTTTCCTTTTATAATGTATGACACGGATTGGATGGGCGCTGAAGTGTATGGTGGCAAGCCACAGGGGACGCCAGAACAAGAGAAGAATTATGACCTTGGTGTGCGAGCAGGGGCGCTTGGATTGATGGTTAACTCATTTGTTCTTGGGTTTACAGCATTGGGTATTGAGCCAATTAGCCGTGTGGTTGGTGGGCTAAGATGGGTTTGGGGAATTGTGAACGTTGTATTGGCAATTTGTATGGGGTGTACGGTGGCTGTGACGAAGGCGGCAGAGAAATGGAGGGCTGTTCACGGCGGCTTGGCGCTTCCTCCGCCGGGTGTTAAAGGTGGTGCCTTTGCGATCTTTGCGATATTGGGTGTTCCACTATCGGTGACTTATAGTGTTCCATTTGCTCTTGCGTCGATCTTTTCGTTGTCATCGAATGCAGGGCAAGGGCTGTCTTTGGGGATTTTGAATCTGTTTATAGTGATACCGCAGTTCTTTGTGTCGGCTGTTAGTGGGCCGCTTGATGCTGCTCTTGGAGGGGGGAATTTGCCGGCTTTTGTTATGGGGGGGATTGCTGCGGCTGTGAGTGCTGTGTGCGCTATGTTTTTGCTTCCTGATCCGCCGCCGGAGACTCATGTTGCTGTCACGATGGGCGCCGGGCATTGATTTTGCTTGCCACTTATTTTATGTGCTTCTCCAATAAAAATTGAATAATTTTTGTTTGAGATTTGGTTGTTGTTTATGTTTAGTGTTTGAATTGGTTAATTGAAGTATGGGGATGTTGGTTGAAAAGATTACGGGAGATATTGAATGAATAAAAGATGGGTTGAAGATATATAAACCCGCGTTTGTAACTGTTTATAAGAACGAGGATCGGGACGTATAATTCTAACGTAAACAGAAATCTCAACATGTAATACTTTAATCTATTAACCAAGTACAGAAAATATTCGGAGATATTGAATGAATAAAGGAAGGGTCGTAGATAGATGAGTCTTTGCATATGTTCCATTTTGATTCTCTTTTGCCCATCATTTCAGCTTGCTTTGCAGATGCTTTTGATAGCTTTTGCCTATGTCTTCGATGTTTGAGAAGACAATTCTATTATTTGCCCGTTCTTTTTCTTACATGACTTGTATGCTTTCACAAACGCATTCATTTATAGCAATATCGGAGTTTTGAGAAGACCTATCGGAATAAGGGACTCATTCTAGTGGCCTAAAGTCAAGAGAAAGAGCGAACCAAGCTAAGAAGAGTAAGGGGATTGTGTTAAAACGCTATAAAAATGAAGCCTCCCAAAACGTTTGTCCCACACCGGTTGCGTTGAGAAGCTATAGATTTAAGAAAAATGTTTTATTGTATAGTTTAGCATCAAGAGGCTCTGCTGAATGTTTGACAGTCTTGAGACGTTCTTAGTATCTAGACGTAATCTCAATTCCCACTAAATATAACATGTAATAGAGATCAAAGATCGACACACAACGCTTTATCAAAATAAAATTTAGAATGTTCCAAATATCCAACCTATAAATAAGATAAGAGAATAGCTTTTCCACCTTTTCGGAATAGTAATTTCAATCATTCCAAAATCATTTCCGAACATGCCAACCAAACCAAACCAAACCAAACCATCTGGTTCCATTTGGTTGGTTCCAAAGCTTCATCAAACCATCAACCTAGCCAAACATGGCCCCTGTTCAAGCTTATGATGCATAACTGAAAACTACGACCTTTCTAACAAAGACAAGAAGAAGCTATCACTTGGGATTGAAGCAGCTCTTCAAAAGTCATCACTCACAATGATTGTCACTAATCTAAAGCCATAGACAAGTTTTAAGAAAACATATCAAAACACAACCTAAGCTCATCTCAACTCATATTTCAAACCTATGTTAGGGCAATGTGAAACAAAAAGGGTATAAAAAGCGCAACAATAGGAGTAATATACAAATTATATTGTTGTGGGATACAAATAATATAATATAAGCAACAGATGGCTGCTTACAATATTTATTCAATCTTCGGCCGTGCTTCAAAGCCGCCTCCTGCCCTCTTCTCCAAGGAGTAAGGCAAGTAGGTTCCAAGTATTCTATCCCATATAACAAAGAAGGGTTGTGAGAAATTAAACTTGCTACCATATAGCTGATGGTGGACATCGTGATATGCAGTATTGTTTCGAAACAAGACGTGGAAGAGGTTACCAGGCAGCCATAATCCACAGTGATCGTCTACGGTCTTAATAGTTGCAAAGGAAAAGAAGAAGATAGAGACTCTGGGAGTCATACCAGATACTAGAAACGACAACGCTCCACCGACTGTGTCGAGCAGTAGTCCTTCCACAGGATGATTATACAAAGCCCCAAACGCATATGGAACAACAAGCTTATGGTGCTGAGAATGAATGTGTCTGAACAGAAACTTGTTATGATGCATGTATCTGTGTGCGAAGTACTGCCACGTGTCCAAAACGAACATCGCGGTTAAAAATTGAAGAACAACCACTGGCCAGGATTTTGGAACTGCAACGCTCCCATCATCGTTTCCAGTCACCTGAACATAGCAAGATGCAATTATAAATTTGGATACAAACTAGGATGCAAGTGCAGGGCTGGTAACCCACATGATATCAATAAGTAATGCCAGAATCTAACATTGATTCCTTTTTCCTTTCCAGAATTGGGAGAGTATGCTATAAGGTGAAAACATTTAAGTTCATGACTTGCCACTTTAACCACTGGATCAAAGCCACATAATTCATTTAACAGCACTTAGATGAGGCTAACTTTAATAATAGTTTTACTCCAGTAATTATATTTCACATGAACATCCACAGCAAGAACTACAGTTCTACTTCTCATTTAGCATGAAACTCACAGGAAAAAAAAAGATTGCAGACACAATTGTACGGAACCAAGGTTTTTAGCTCGTACGAGTTGTCGACTTCTTACAATGCAGAAGACGAAAGGGGGTTGGTACTGTCCCAATACTTCTTGAGGATATTTTTTCAAACATATATATAAGTAAACCGAAACATTAAAGATTACACAAATAAATATGTAACCTAAACTAAATAGACAAATCCAAGAGAATCGAATTATAGCTAAAGGAAGTACGATTAAATTTTCATACAATTGAGAAATACCGTGTTGTTTTGACCAATTCGATTTGTAACCAAACGATCACCTCAAAGGGAATTTAAGAATAAAAAAAGGGGCGAATAGCATAAACTTTTATTCAAATCCATCGATCACAGCTTTGAAATTATTCATCCAAACTCTTTCCTTATGAACCTCTATTCCTAGAGTTTGAATATCCAAAAGACTTAAAAGTCAAAAGCTAACAGCTTAACACCAACTAATATAACTTTACAGTGGATGCTAAAAACTGCAAGTTTATCCTTCCAATCGCTAGCTTGAATCATCAACCCTTTTGTTCCTGAATGGAATCGAAATTTTCGAGTTGCCTACTAAATTATAAGATTTTCAGATTTTTGTTTCATCAATTCAAATTACAGTAACAAAATATGATTTTCACTTTGCCAGCATTAGCAATAGATGTTCTTTTAAATATGCAGTGTTTAATTATATAAAAAACGATGCTTCCAGTGGTGTGACAGACTCTAATTTCGATCAAAACACATATAAAGAGAAGAGGAGTTGTTACTTTAATTTTGTCAAAACTCAAATGGTTCACAAACAACAAAACTTTCAATCTCAGTAGCTAAACTAAGGAAATCTGAGGAAGATCGTACTACAGTTATACCAAAGTGTATGAGCAAAATGAATCTCAGTTGAAATTTTCTAGGGCAGGTTCCACCAATAATTAGGATCAGAAATAAACTAAATTACAATAATAACGACAAGTGCGACGACGACGACGACGATTATTAATTGCAATAGTAGCAAAGAAATTAAATAGAAAGTAGGAGCTGACCTTAAAGAGGATGATGGCGACAATAGCCTGAATGAATTGTTGAAAGAGAACGCCTCGAACCACAGTGGATTTTGAAACCAAGTTCTTCTCATCCTCGTCTTTCTTGGAGTGCAGTCGGTAATTCTCGAAGAAACCGAGAAGCACGTAAATCCCAGAATAGAACCAATACACGAAAATCGGGACGAAAGTACCCAACAAATCATCGGAGATGGTGAATCCCATTGAGAAGGAAGAAGGTAGAGATTCAGAGATTGAAAAAGAAAACCATAGATTTGTTAAGAATTCAAAAAGATGAACAAAATCAAAGCATAAATCTCCAAACCGGAAATCCGCTGGGCGTTGGGAAGGAAATCCAGAATAACCTTCCCCACTCTGGTTGAGAAATTTTTGAAAGAACACAGGAAATCGATCGCTAATTCTCAATGTTTAATTACAATAATCCTTCCCTCAATCTCTGAATCCCACGATGAAGGGTTTTTAAAATTTTAATTCAATCAAAACTCTTATTTAATATAATTTCACGTTTTTATTTTCAATATTTTACAATTCAAACCCGTTGACCACTCACATAAAAAGACCAAAATACCCCTCTACTTCTCGATAATTTAATTTAATGTACTTTCAATAAACTAGCTATATTTTCTATTTAAAAAATTATTTTAAATCCTTTTTTCTCTATAAAATTTTATAAAATTTTAAAATGTGTTCACCTTGTATATTTTTCTTCGTATATAAATTATTATTTAACTAATTTCAATAAAGAAATAGAAATTAATAATGAAATCGAGACCAAAATATAACCATAATTGTAATTCAATTAGCATCCGTACTTATTATCTTTTACTTACGTAATGATCCGACTTTTGAAAATATTGCTCGTCACGATATGCTCATTGATGTCAAATTTAAAGTGGAAAAGCAAAAAAAAAATGTTAGACATCCCCATTAAATAATTAAACAATAATGCATACATAATTATACATCGGTCATAATTATGACCGGTGTATCGAGTTTGCAACAAAAAAAAATGAAAAAAACGTTCCGACAACTTGAGAGCAACAAATAAAAAATATGCAAAAGTCCAGATCAAACATGTCGACAGTCTTCCATGGCAACAAGCAGTTCATATATGCTCTTAAAGCTGAGTATTGAAAATCACAACACAGTACAATTCTCTGATTAACATAATGTATCACGAAGTTGTGATACAGTTTTCATGCACACAAATAAATAATTGACATAAAGGTCATAACATACTCACGTTGAAATTGATATTAAATTTAATATTTTATTTAAAATAAAATAATTAGATTTCAAAATAAAGTATTTCAACAAAAATAATATTTAGACTAAATTTTAGTTTTTTCAAATAATTTTGAGAATTAAATTTAAAAAAAAAGAGTAAAAGTTAAAAAGACAAGGAAAAAAAAACATTCCAAGGAACACGAATCCCCATACACAAACCAAAAATAAATAAATAAATTATAAAAATAACAACAAAAGAGGCCGTTGTGTGGCTGTCTCGGATTTAAAAACAAATTTGGATTTTGAAAATTTAATAATTATTTGGTTTTTTTATTTAAATAAATTTATTTTCTCATCATTTTTTATACTAAGTTTATTATTTTATTTTATTTTTAAGGAAAATATTTATTATTAGATTTTCATAATATTTAAAAATAAACGAATTATATCGTTACTAAGGGCTAATCATGTTGTTCAAAGCTTAACTTGGAACACGAGTAATTCTCTTAGTTCGAATAAGCAACCCGCTCACTCGAAATCTGTCATTTTAGTTGTTATAGTCCCAGTTTAGGGATACCATAAGTTCAATTACGTTGTCCAAAGCTTAACTTGGAACAA